AGAAAGAGGCCCCTACATATGCAGCTCCGTGACTGCTGACAGAGTTCTCTTCAGTCCAGAGAGGAAGAAACAATCTTTTCAGGAAATGAGGCTGGCTGCCTGGGTCTCTTTTATAGAATGTACAAAATCAGTTCCAGATTGATTGCACAAGCGTCTGTGGAAGATGGGCTTCTAGAGGAAATCTCCATCCCCGCAGTAGGACCAAAGCTGTGATCAACAGTATCCACTTCAAAAACTGCCAGTCACGAGCCTGGCATGGCAGCACACGCCTGTGATCCCAGCCCTTGGGAGGCTGAGGCAGGAGGAGCACTGTGCGCTCGAGGCTGTCTGGAGCTGTGTACTGAAACTCTATTTCAAAAAGATTAAAAAAGAAGAAGGAAATTAGCAATCACAAAGGAAAGATGTAAATTATATTGTGTTTTGTTTTAAAGATTTATTTATTTAGTAATTTAGTTGATATAGGTTCTTGCTATGCAGATCAGACTTGTATGATCCTTCTCTTCCAGCCTCCCCAGTGCTGCGATTACAGGTGTGTGCCACCATGCCTGGTTTTGGTAGCCAGCCAGCATGGCATATGGTATGGGGAATTGAACCTAGGTCCTTACGCTTGCCAGGCAGGCACTTAGGCTGCTGAGCTATCTCCCCAACCCTGGATCATGTTTAAAGTATCATTAAGTGACTGAAATAGCAAGCCCCAGCCTGGGAAGATATTTTTGTATAATCAAGAAAGGGTCTGACCTGAGGAATGGATGAGAAAGATGTGGTGTTTTTATACAATGGAGTATTACTCAGCTATAAAAAATGATAAACTCGAAGACTTCATATATAAGTGGAAGACACTTAAAGATATACCCATATGTGAAATAAACCAGACCCACATGTGTAAATATTGTATAGTCTCCCTAGTGTAAGACCTAAAAAAAAAGAAATAAAAATTGAAAAGTATAACACAACTAAATGGAAAGTGAGAGCTTAGGAATTGAACAACAAAGAGAGGGCAAGGAAGAAAGCTAGGAAACATGGCAGGGGCAAAACCATACATTTATATACACTAGATGGTTAAGGCAGTGATCCTGAGAATCTCCATCAGCTTTTTGAAACTAGCAGTTAATTGGCAGGATTCTCACCCTGACTAACTATATATGCTAACCCCTGTGGACTAAGCCACTGCACTGACGATAACAATGTGTAGTACTAGAGCCATGCTTGGATGCCTGTCATTCTGGTCTTCTAAAAGCATAGTGCTTCTAATTTCATATCAATTACTACTATACTCTCTTGCAAGTCAATGTTTAAAAAAAAAAGAAAACAAATGTATAAATGAAAACAAGAGACAAAAAAAGGTCATAGGACTGTCCTGCTACAATGTTGTATATGGTTAGCTTTCTAAATTTCTGTGTAAAAATATGTAATTGTTTATTTCTACTTTTTCCTATTTTTTTTTCACATTCTGTAGGGATTTAAAGTTTAACATATCAATGATTGCTGGAAAATACCTGTTCCATGTTATGTCTAAGGCGTTTGATATTCAGACAGATAGTGAGGTTAAGCCCAACTGCCTATGTTATAGGGTAATAATATCATTAAGCTTCTCTTCTAGAGGGTTAACAACTTAAGTTTGCAGACAAAAAAAATTAGAGAAAAACAAGGGCTACAAGGGTAGCCAACATTTTGGCCCTAGCCCTTCAAGGTCAGTGAGGACTCAGGACGTAAGAGAACCTGTACTGTAACATCCTGTAACTCAATGATGTCCCACATTTTCTGATCAAGGAGATTATGGGGCCACAGAGGAAAATGATCAATGATGGAGAGTGTGCCTAAGGAGAGTCACATGGAGAGAAAACATTCTCTCAGGCTTTCACAGAAAGCAAATTGGTCACACAATGGCTGTGACTCATCCTGTTTTGGCAAGTGCAGGGACCAGCGTTCAATCCCCTGTCCTGTGTGCCACGCTAGCCCTGATCCACCCCCCGCCCCCTGGCATACTGAGCCAGCAACTGAGTCCTGGTGTGGTGGTGCACACCTGTAATCCCAGTGCTGGAGAGGCCAAAAATGGGTGGGGGTGGGGTGGGGGGGATCATTACGAGTCTGAGCTGTGTAGTGAGACCCTGTACCAAGTACATAAAAATGAAAAAACGAAACAACACAAAAACCCATAAAATGTCTTCACACTTGGAAAATGTAGCAGTGTGACCAAAATCTTAAACCAAAATGATCACTGTTTTTGTGGATATAGTGTAACTGGAGCCTTTATGTACTGTTGGGAGGGGGGTGTGAAGTAGAAAATGGGAAAAATTGGTTTAATGATAAATTCCTGCATACCCAACGACCTAGCATGTCCCGCATTTGTATTTTTGATTTGATGATTATATGAATATGTTCATTTTAAATATATGTATATAAATTATCACCTTGCACACTTATAATTCCTCCTTAAATCTGCATATTATGACACAATCATAAATTCACATTAAAACTTGTGACAGCAATAGGAAAATGATTTGATGTTTTAGCCTGAACAAATACATGGAGTTCAAGGCATTGACTTGTCTAACAAAAGGCTTACATACTTGGGTATCTGTGAGGATGATTTTAATCACACAAGAGAAGGTCCTGACATTTGAGAGTAACTTTTGTTCTTCTGAGGAAATACAATTAGTAACTCTGGGTGACAGCCACTTCTGCTTTTCCTTCCTAAAGTGATGCTTTCACTTGTGGCCTCTCTGAACTCACCAATTAATTTTCATCCTGTGACAAATGGCTGCTTCTTTATGGAAATTCAGTGACAAAGATCAGAAACCAAAATGCTTTATTTGCATCTAGTATATAAATTGTGTCTTGGCTGGGTGTGATGGTGCATGCCTGTAATCCCAGCACCTGGGAGGCTGAGGCAGGAGGATCGCCATGAGTTCAAGGCTAGCCTGGGCTACACATTGAGACCCTGTTTCAAAAAAAACAAAACAAAAGAATTATGCCATGGAGATAACTCTAGTATTAACTAAAAGTAACTTGGCCAATTTGTTTTTTAAAAAAATTATATCTGTACTTAACATGGACCTTTGAAATAAAAGAGATACAGCACAAAATAAAATGCAAATATCATTTAGCAATTATTTTCTTATATATTACTTTGAAAACCATCTGCTAAAGGTCATTAAATTGGGCATGCAATGTTTTGTCGTTATGAAATAGATTAAATGCTCAGTACTACTAAACAGCAATGAGATACAATCCAAACAATAATGGTAAATATATATGTGTGTGTGTATATACATATATATGTGTGTATATATGTATATAGTTTCAACATATAAATATAACAATATTAGATTATCAAAATTTTTTAATAAAGTGGTAATGAAATACCAAACTAACAACAATAAAGATTCATAATATTTTATAATGTTGTACCTTGGGCTTGGGCAAGCCCTCATTTGTCTCTGTTTGGAATGCTAATTGCCACAACCTCTTTTGGAAAGTAGTTTTGGCAAGAAATGTTAAAAGGTGAATGGTAATCATGTTTTGACTAAGCAAAACCATTTAGGGAGTCAGTACTGCAGAAATTCAAAGTACCCACATCCAAGGTTGTAAGCATATAAACACTGAAATATCCTCTATGAAGAATGATTGAATAAACCATGAGCTGTCTGGCCAAAGGACGGTTATGTAGCTACTAGTGAGGATGTGTTGAAAATGATCAATTATGTAACCTTTATTGAGTAGTCATTGTGTGCTAGGCATCATTCTAAGTGTTTGTTTGTATAAATTCATTGAACTCTGTAGCAACAGTATCTTAGAGTATTCTTGTTTGCGTTTTATGGCTGATGAAATTAAAGTTGGAGAAGATCAGATGCTTTCCCCCTTCATGGAGCTGGTACTTGTGAGGTCAGAATTTGAACCAAGCAGCCTTAGTCTGGATTACATACTCTTAACTTCCACATAGTTATCCTACTTCCTTGAATAAATTAAGGAGGGATTTCTCATACATATTTTAATTGAATAAGCAAATAATGGAAATGTGGTTATTCCATTTAAAAAAGAAAAACAAAAGCCATGTGGAAGAATACTCCCCAAGCTAGAAACACTGATTCCATCAGGACTGATCAAGGAAGAAGGATGTTATTAATTTTTATTTTTTTCTTCTTTATTGTTTGAAGTACTAGGAAGCTTTGAAATACTTTTTTTTTAATTTAATAAAAGGAAAAGTTAATAAAACCCAGCCTCTGATCCTGGGTTCATTATGTTTTCTTGAGAATAAAAAGAGTAGATGGTTCATTTAATAAATAAACAAGAAATTAATAAAACTTGTCTTCTATTTTCTTACCAGGATTCAGGCCCACCGCTCCATTTCACCATGGTCTTTCTACCTTGTATTTTCTCATTCCTTATCAAAAATATTTATCTAGATTGGCTTCAGGTGGGCTCCAGGAATCATCCATTTCCTGTCTAGCTTCTTGTCCCGTCTCCTCTACTCTTTCTTCAGTCCACTAACCAGTGCGTGGGCCATACCAGCAGTCTTTCTTTTCTATTTTTCAGCTTGCCAACAGTGACTTTGCCCGGGCTAACCCTCAGGCCAGTGCCTCTTTTACACAGCGATCTCTTCACCATCATTTGTGACTGCTTTCCTCTCTGCTGTCACAACTTACGCTCAAAATGAGGCGGAAAGAAGACTTGTCACCTGGCCAATCTGTTGTGAAGGAAAGCACTGTGGTAGAGTAGGGTTACCTTGTCCCAGCCCAGACACATGCCCAGAAATTATATAAATAAACATAGTCCACCGATTTAGACGTGTTTGATAGACAGATGCATAGATTGTAATAGGATGTGGATTGCTATGAGTGACACTGTAGCACTATACACTATAATTATGAAACTTTAGCCCTTAGGTACAGAAGTTAACTGCCTTGTATATGAAACTGTTATATGTGATTTATATTTGAATGTCTTCAAATTTTACTTCAGTCAATAACTTGAAGAAATATTTTTATGCTTTTTTTCAGGTCCCGTTTGATATCTCACTGCCTTCTATATTTAACCTTGAGAGACTTTTTGATCTCGCTAATGGTTGTATCGTATCAGGAGGAAGGCTTTTCAACTGGATGGTGTCCATTATTCCCTGAACGTCCTTTATGAGGTAGCCTTACAAAGGATTGAGTTGTTGTTGTTTTTCTTAGTCACAAATAAAGTTCTAGAACTGTGCTCAAATAACTACCAGAATGAAATTAATTTCTTATAGAAGATAAATTTCTTTAAGAAGTATAGTTGCAGGGATTGTTTGAAGTTGTATTTGAATTAAATAGCAATGCTATTGCATCTTGAAACTGGATTACCAAGCTATCCATAGAAAATAGGTTTGTGCAGTGCGACTCTTCACTGCTAGTTTATATCAGATAGTCTTTAGAAATGTTTGTACAGGGCTGGTGAGATGGCTCAGTGTCCTAATGCACCTACTTAGAACAAGCTTAGCAAAGCACAGGGACCACGGTTCAATCCCCCAGCACCACATGCCAGCCAGCCCCGCCCCCTGGTGACACACACACACACACACACACACACACACACAAATAAATAAAGTTCTTAATAAAAGAGAGAGAGAAAAGAAATGTTTATACAGTAATATTGGATTACACCAATGGTTCTCAGCTGGGAGCAGTTTCCCCTGAGGTGACATCTGACAATGTCTGGAGACATTTTGGTTGTTATAAGTAGGGGGAGTGTACTAGTGGCATCTAGTGAGAAGAGGCCACGGATGCTATCAGCCTGCAAAGGAGAAGCAAGGCCACCCCCTACAATCAAAAATGATTCAGTCCAAGACGTCAGCTGTGCCAGTTTGGAGAAACTCTGGATTAAACTTTAACATGTGGTGAATTCAACTCTGGAAGTTTGTCTGTTTGGCTTGGGATGTAATGTGTAGCAAGTTAGACCTGTATTTTATGTTTCTGAGAGGTAACATTGCACAGAAGTATATGGCATGAGGTTTGGAATTATAGAGCTGGATTTGAGCGATAGCTTCACCACTCGCTGGTGTTGCTACTTTAAAGATTAAATTATTGAGCCTTTGTTTCTTCATCTATAGGATGGGTCGTTAACATCTCTCTTATGGGAGTACTTACTGTAAGTGTGGAATTAAGTGTATCAGTGTGACAGAGAGCTTAGAGTATGCATAGCACAACAGTACTACCATGTGTACCACTTCCCTGCCAACGTAGAAGAGAACTATGTATTTCTCACTTTTGTTGTCCAGCATCTAACAGTGCCGCACGTGGATGTTTCCCAGGGGCTGGCCCTGGCCCATGAAAAGATACCGTGATAAGTAAATAAAATAAAGGTGTGTTTCTAAAGCTTAGTGATTCAATAGTGATTCACCCTAGTGATTCACCCTTTATTTTCAGATTATGAATTTCTTACTTCCTAATGCTATAAAAGGCCATTCTTTTGTCAAACATGATAATAGCAACTGGTGTGACATTTTAAAATAGTCTCCTGTGATAATAAAAGAAAAATTAGAAGTCTTATGTTGGCTCCTCGTTTTGACAAATTTAGGTATCTGTAAAGTTTGAAAGTCCAAAAACAACAAACTAGAACTGGCCTGTGATACCACATAGAGGAAATGAATCTTTGGCAAGGTATTTAAGGATAAGGAAGTTTTTACTGGCTGAATATTCATTTAAAAAATTTTCCAGGGCAAGGATGCTCTAGGAGAACAGGAAATAAAAGTGAAAACACAAGGTGTATGCGCCAAGGACCTGGCTGCTGTATTTGTAACACGTACCTTGTGTTGCGCAGTGAGAGTAGTTCTAAGAGTGAACTAGAAAGAGGACTTGGGCCAGGTAGTGGGTATGAGGGACAGTCGCAGATAGCTAGACTTCTGGCAGGAGTAGACCCTCAGTCAGTATGGGATGAGTGAAAGCACTCAGAGGAATGAGTCTGACCTGGTCTCTAGAGCAGAGAATGGATAAGAAAGAAAGAAAAGCAAGAAGACCTAGACCGGGTTGTAATGCAAGGGAAATCAACAAAACGTTTACTGGCTAAGTGCAAATACGAAATAAAGTTTGGTTCAAGCAGAAAAGCCACTTGGATGGTGATGATTCATGCAATAAAGACTTCCAGTTCCTTTGATCTGAGCCAGGGTTTGTGAGTGCCACTGTGAAATAGCTCTTTGATGGCTTGTGTTTCTCGACAGAAGTTCAATTTATTATGCAAAGTTAGCCATTAAGGGCAAAATGGTGCAGCATATTACCTGTACATTTAATGCTGGCATAGAAGTACAGCACGACCAGCAAGCAAGACCATTTCTTTCATCCTGTTAATTTCCAAGAATGTCTGTACCCATTGCCCGCTGTTCATCACTATTAAGTTCATGCTGCATGCTTTTCACTTTTCCTTATTTTGAATGTTAGTGTGTATGAGCTGTTTTATGCAGCCCTGCAGTGCTAGCTGGCACAAGGTAGAGCTCTATAGTATTTCTACTTGCTGAGTGAATGGATGGAAGTATGAATGGGTGGATGTGACCTAGGCGAGAGAGAGCACTGGGGAGCCTTAAGAAAGAGGAAGGTAAAGGTGTTGCCAGCACCCCACCAGCACTGCATCGTGAAAGCTGCCTAGCCCTCCAGGCCGTCTTCTGTAGGAAGCATTGTATTACCATGCACTTGACATGCGTCATCTCCCTGTCTTGACAGGAGTTGTGACTGTCAGGAGCACAGCAATACTGACTCCGAGTTACATAGCGGCAGACAGAAGTTATTTAACTTCTCCTCTGATTATGGTCAGAGGTAGAGCCAGCATTTAAATCCTGATTGAGAAATCTGAGCTCTACCTTGCTAAGCTCGCTTCTCTGCCCTTGCATCCACTCTGTGGCTCTGGGAAATTTGTGAATCAAATGAGAGAGTAAGACATAGTTGAGTCTCAAGCTGAAACTGAACATCTGTGATTTTTTTTGGAAAAAATTACTTGCAAACCTGAGGGGATGTCCTGAGAAAGCAGAGTGGCGAGCAGGCGAAGTTATCTATGCCAGAAGGATGATTTCCCCGGGGAGGGCAGGCTTCTTCCCAATATTGCAGGTAGTAGAACATTGTGACACGTTTTTTTTTTTTTTAAGTTTTTCTCCACTTCTATATATTTACAGATGCTGTTATTTGGGGTGTTGTGTTGCCTAAGAGAAACACTGCCTAAAACTTCCCCAGACCTCGAAGCCAGAGTTTTCCCAATTTGAACCACCCTAGAAATCCCCCAGCTCTTCTAAAATAGAAGCAGCGCTTGCTACTTAAAGCTAGAGCTTTCTGTCCTAGCCATTGGGAAGTGAGGATGAACTGGGCCAAAGCCCAAACAAAAAGAAATTGCAGAATCTTCCACATGAAAGATGTGGTTTCCAGAAATGTCTTTCGGGTTTTTTTTTGTTTTTTTTTTAAGACCGTATTATACATTTGCAGCTGTTTCTTAAAACTGCAATACACAGTAGATATGTGCAAATGTTTTAGAGCAGACGCCTGTGAGGTTTTCTGTTGGCTTAAGTTATAACAGAGAACACTAGGAGACAAACTAAGAAGGGGAAGGAGGAGGAGGAAGCAAAATGGGAGGTAGAGGAACCAGTGCCCGCAGCTAAGTGATAGGTAATAAAACCCCTCTGCTGCTGGTTTAGCTCCTTCTCACTCTCCCAGAGGTTGCGTCCGAAGCTGACTACCTGCCAGCCAGCCAGAGCTTCAACTGCAGCGGCCCTCGTCCACTGTTCCGAGGGTGCTTTGCACATTTCCCAGCCCTGCGGAGTTGGCACCCTTCACCGAATTGCAGGGGAGATAGTACATTTCTGGGGACTACAAGGAGCACGGCTTCTGTCTCTTGTTTGCCTTGCCTTTATTTCCCCTTTTCTGGACATCACTGTGTTGATCCTCCCAGGTCAAGGGCGCCTGCCTCCCTGGGCTTCGAGAGCACTTTGGCATGACCTGGCCACCCGGCTCCCAGGTGCACTGCTGTATTTTCATAGCACCATCTTCTACCTTCTTCGTAGCTCCTCCTTCTACCACCTTTATAGCTCCAGAGTCATAAGAGTGTGAGCCTGTCACATATTCCTTTGCTTTGAACTTCATTTGAGACTTGGTAAATCATTTCTCATTTATCTTGGAACTTAAAGTGTTTATAAACACTAGAAATGGAAGCTAAATATACACAATGCCACCAGGGATGTTTTCAAGCCATAATACATGTATTTATATGATCAATGTGTGTGTAGTCCCACTTGGGTGAGGAGAGAAATCAGTGGGCCCAGAAATCCACTGTGGAGTTACTTTCTCCTGTTTTCTCAGACTTAAAATGTTGGTTGGTATATCACTCATTTGCCCGAGGAAACTTGGGCAAGAATGTTCACCGATGCATTGATTATAATACGAAACAAATGAAGATTTACTAAATATCCATCAGATGGAAAAATGGATAAGTAAATAATGATGTAGTCATACAGGAGAATACAGAGAAGCAATTAATGAATGGATAATGGAATACTAAGCAATATTCTGAGATGAATTAAAGAGACGTGTATTGATCGGGATTCACTCCAAAAACTGATTGAGTAAAAAAAGAAAATTAAGTATTAGAAAAGGACACATACAGGAAGATGGGATTTATATAAAGTTTAAAAGCTGGCAAATTGACCTGACATAGTACTTATTGATGCATATGTATTTTACTAAAATATTTTAAAAGTGCAAGTTAATGGTCCAAACCAAATTCTACTTGTGACATCTCTTGGCTGAAGAAGGAGAAATGAACTCTGAAGAGAATGCCTAAGAGGGTTCATTTGTGTTTGCAAAATTTTCTTTCTTAATGTAGGTATATGTTATGTTGGTCTCTACTGTTTTATAAATTAACAAAAGACACCTCTTACCTTCTTCATCCTAGGCTGGCAAGCTTTGTGCAGCTGTTGCTTCACCTATCAGTAAACAACTCCTTAATATGTCTTAGGATTCTGATGTTGTTATAGGCATGTAACTGGTTCACATCTGGTTCCATTAATTTGGGTTTTAACGACAACTAAAAAATCATTTTGAAACTAATGTTAAGCCATATACACATGCCCAATTTTAGAAAAGTCGATCTGTGAAAATATTAATTTTTAATATGAGATAGTAGAGCCTTAATAAA